GAGAAAAAAAGAGAGAAGAGTCGCATAGGCACACATACAAGTACAAGGTTTTACATGATGCATGTCAGAAGGTAACAACAGTTACGAGATTGGAAGAATTCCGACAACAAGTCGTGGTATGAGAAAGAGGCCTAAAAGGGGGAATACCCTGGCCTTTGGATTTATTTACAGAACAGTTTCCTAGATGTCAAGGACAATATTAAAGTATTCGTAAGAGCTACAGGTTATGAGAGTGATAAATGCATTAGCCAACATTCAAGGACGAATGTTCTAAAGGGGGGAATGATGTTACACCCCATGTTTTCGTATGTAAGAGTACGTCATAAGTCAATTAATGTAAGCTCAGAAGAATCATCTTTGAAAAGTTTAAAAAGTTAGTTCATCATGTTAACGTGTAGGTTACAAATATTTAAGATCATTAATACCAAGTAGCAAGAGGGTTTAAAGGCTTAGAAGCTAAACGAATTGAAGAAAATAAGTTTCCTCGAAAGTCGACAAGTTGGATTGTTTTACCATGTACTTCTGGGGTGAGACTAGGGTGATTAACATTATATGGAGATTATATTATGAGTTCTTTTAGTCGTATGATAGTTGGTGTTATGTTTTGAAGTCAAGCGAGTTGTGGAACAAAAGCTGGAAAAAGGTCATCACAAGTTCCATTCATAAATATGCTGAAAATTTGGTCAAATATAATTGAGCTTTTCTCCCAATATACTAGGAATTAGGGGATGATCTACATAACAAATTAAATATCTATGAGTCTAGTTTCCAACGCATTAAACCGTGTGTCAATACGATCTTGGAGTATAGAGATACTCGTATTTTTGCGAGCCTGCGCAGATTGGTTAGGTGACAAGTAGGTGCATCACCTACTTGCCAAAATGAGAGGACAAAATTAAAAGCCCCAAAGTCGGCCAAGAGGGGACTTTTAAGGGATTATCAACTCAGTTATTTCACCTATCTTTCAGACCAAGAAAACCAAATTTAACCCCTGCAACTCCTCCCCAAAAATCCCACACAAACCCTAGTTCATTTCGGATGTTACGACGTGATTCTAGTGCCGAAAACCCCGGATAGCTTGCTAGTTTCTCTTTCTCCTTTGTGTGGCTGCATTGGGGGACTGATTTTTGATGGAGAAGGACTAGTTTTCTTGGTTCTACTCAGTCCAAGGTAAGTTTATGCTTCTCCTTCCATTATCTATGCTTGTACGAGTTGTAACTCGACCGTAAAGACTAGACCTAGCGAGTTTCGAATGAGTAGTATGTTGTTTGTTGTCGCATCACTGTTGGCTGGTTGTGAAATTATTTTTAAGTTGAATTGACGGCTGGTTTATAGGATAAGAGGCTTAATTATGTGTTGTTGTTTGTGTTGCTCAATTTGAAAGAAAAGACAAGTCAAAACATGTTTTAGTAAACCGAAAAATCAATTTTGAGTTGTTGAACTTGTCGGACTGTTTTGTGGGTTGTTTCGTGTTGCTGTTGGGTTGTCTATTTTGCTAATGTTTTTATGGAGTTTGGGAGGAGAAAGAGTGTGGAGAAACACCACATAATGGTAGGGTGGTTGGCTGCTCGTTCGTCGTTATATTTTTTTAGGTTGTTGGACACTACTTTGGTTGTCGTTTTATGTATGAAGTGATTAGGGTGTCTGGGCTATTTTGTGGTATATTGTGATGGAGATAAGGTTGGAACATGATGCATACATGTTGTTATTGTTGTGTTATTGTTGTTGTTGGTATATAGTATTGGAGGATGGCTTTGTTATAGGGGAGATGCTGCCAAAATTTACGTAAACAAGCTACTAGTTTAAGTTGCGGACTTAGCCTTTACTCAGCACTGATTTTGAATCTCCTTATGCCATCGTAGATTAAATTGAGTTGTTTGAAGAATTGCTTGGAAGGCATTAAGGACTCAACGGAGTTAAGGTATGTTAAGGCACTTTCTTCTTTCTTTTGGCATGATCTAACATGAAATGTACATAAACGATACGCTATTTCATAATGAATCTACTCCTAGCAACTAAGGTTGTCCATGTTGTTCTTTCCGTACAAAGTTATTATAAGAAAGTGTGTATGATCCTTGAGTCCTAGTGAAGTTCATATTGATGGTATGATGTCCATAATGTTAATCGAGGGTGCAATGACCTTACGTCACTCCGAAAGGTTTAGAACGTGATTCCATGAGTCGAGCATGCATTATATATATGTATCTATTTTACTCTACCGAGCCGCGCTATAGTTGGCCGGGTACGGCACCTATTGTGCAACCGCTGATCAGTTGGGTTTACCGAGCTCCAAGTGGCCGGGTACGATTCTACCGAGCCTTATGATGGCCGGGTACATTTTTACCGAGTCCTCTTTGAGGCCGGGTACGATACGATATGATGATGATGATGCCCACAGAGGCGAATGTTTTTAAAAGTTTATGTATATATATGTATTATGCATTTCATGTCAGTAGTCCCCAGAGGCACTCAGATGTTACAGGTTGTATCCCCTCTATCTCTCTTTACATTACTGTTCTTATTTATGTTTTCCTGCCTTACATACTCGGTACTTTATTCGTACTGACGTCCCTTTTGCCTGGGGATGCTGCGTTTCATGCCCGCAGGTCCCGATAGACAGGTTGACATTCCTCCTAGTAGGTTATCAGCTCAGCGGAAGGTGTTGGTGCACTCCACTTGCTCTGGAGTTGCCTATTTGGTCAGTATGATTTGGACATATATTGATTGGTATGGCGGGGCCCTGTCCCGACCTTATGATATGTATGTACTCTTAGAGGCTTGTAGACAGATGTCATGCATATGAAAGATTGTATGGCCTTGTCGGCCTATGTTCGGTGTATGAGTGTTCATTTTGGTCTTATAGGACTGCATGTCACATGTATAAGTTTGTATTACATGTTGGGTCGTCTTATGTCAAGTATTCCCTTATGTTTTATTCTAGTTATATCATGACGGCCCTTCCGACCCATTTACCCATGATGGTATGATAATAAAGATACGTTACGTTGGTACTCGGTTGAGTAAAGTACCGGGTGCCTATCGCGGCCCTCCGATTTGGGTCGTGACATGGGATCTCTCCCAAATCTCCTTTGAACTACACCAACCTATCAATAACCTTATCCTATCTATAAACCCAACCCTCTATAATAACTCAATTGATACTCCTTATTTGTTCTTAACCTCTGATGGAACTTTTTCCACAAAATCGACAATATCCCTTCTCCACCCCAATTGCAATGTAACAAATTGCACCTCCTTTTATTGGATCTGGCAGCTTAATACCCTTAACAAAATTAAGTATTTCCTATGGCAATGCATGCATAACAGACTTCCTACGAAATACTACCTCAACCACATTGGCATGCAAATTGATCCCATCTGCACTCTTTGTCGTCAGGATGAAGAAACTATCACCCACATATTCCTCTATTGCCCTCATGCAATACACTTCTGGAACGATATTGGCCTAAACATAAACCTTCTAGACATTCCTTAACATGCACTGGCTTAATGCCCTGAGGAAGACCTCCCCCCTATCCTTAGCCATTCCTTAACCCGGGACGAATACCTACCCTTTGCTGTTTGGCTTTTATGGAACAACAGAAATAATAATGTATTCAACCGAATCAACAAAGCCCTCTCCAGTCATCTCGTCTATGTACGAGCTTTGGAATACAAACACTGTGCCACCAACCCCTCTAATAGACTCCCAGTTATCCATAACATAGATGTTCGTTGGCAACCTCCCCCTACTAACTTCATTAAAGTGAATATTGATGGTTCCTTCCGCAATAAGCATAGAATAGGTGGTATTGGAGAAATTTTCAGAAATTCTCAAGGAGAATGGATCCTTGGATTTAGCAAAGCCTCTATTGGACCTACCCCTCTTTCCATAGAACTTCAGGCCTTAAAACATGGCCTTCAACAAGCAATGGAGAATAATTGGTCACACTTAGCAATTGAGACTGACGCGGCAAACATCATTGACCTCCTGGAATCAGACATCTATAATCCTCATAACAATATTATCTCTGAATGCAGGTACTGGATGAGGATCCACCAATCCAACACATCTACAGTGAAGGCAATCAGGTGGCACATGAATTAGCGAAGCAGGCATCAACTCAAGCTAATATCAACTACTCAGCTGCCTTCTTACAAATGTCAGAATCACTGAAGGATTTAGTTCTATGTGATACTAGTGGCACTACTACTATTAGAACTATTAGTACTAATGTTAATGTATCAAACAACTTAGCACTGTTGGACTCCCATGCCTCTACTAATTTAGCAGTCACCAGTCTAGCAACCAGTAGTTCCCTAGCTAACCTAGACTATGGTCCGATGAGGACCCTCTCATGTATCAACCCTTAATAGTGTTATATATAATATTTCCTGTTTTCAAAAAAAAAATGAGAATGGCCATAAGCTTATAACTGAGAAATATTGACCAAAACAAAATATTCAAGAAAAGTTTCACCTTGTTTATAGTTTCTAAATCTTGTCATTTCAAATGGCTTTACAGCAATATCTACGGCCAATGTTTTCAGCTGGAGGGATACTAATAAGTAATAAGCAACCCTTGATGGAGAGGTTTACAGCTACTTAGAAGCCGAGAAACTTTAAGTTCTATGCACTAATCGTATTAAAGACAAGAGTGGGTTATTCTAGTGGTGAGCACCCTCCACTTCCAACCAAGAGGTTGTGAGTTCGAGTCACCTCAAGAGCAAGGTGGAGAGTTCTTGGAGGGAGGGATGTCGAGGGTCTATTGGAAACAGCATCTCTACCCCAGGGTAAGGGTAAGGTCTGCGTACACACTACCCTCCCCAGATCCCACTAGTGAGATTATACTGGGTTGTTGTTGTTGATGCACTAATTGTATTAAAAATATTTATACGATTACTTATAATTATATCTCTACGATAAACATTATTAATTGGTAACCTGTCCTCATAGAAATGACAAGTTATCTCCTATAATAGGATAAACTGCACTGGTAATGAAAAAAAAAATTACATTGTCGGTATATATTACTTCAATTGATATTCTAATATCAAAATTGAATTCACAACATACACAAAGTGCAACACAAATGAATCACTCTGCTGTATCAAGATTTGGTTAAACATCCACATAATTTAACATCATTTTCAAGGATGAATTCAAGTTATAGCCATTTAAAATTGTGAAAAAACAGGTAGAGAATGATCTTATATAAATTGTGTGCATGATCTCATCAAGACACTAAAGGTCCTGCAACAGCAAGCTCCAAGAAGTTGACATCATGGACTTTGAAACCAAAAGTTGATATCACTTTGAATCTTCATCTGTTGCCTTTGAGCAAGATGCGATTCCAGTTTGCTTGTATGAGCCTTCCCAATTTTGTCCATCAAAACATTTGATCTCAACATGAGTTAGCGTACCAGGATCAACACACCTTAATGTAACGGCTATACCATCTGGATTCGATCGTGGAATGTAGAAAGAAGTTATGCCACAAACTTTGCAGAAGGTGTGCTTAGCAGTGTGAGTCCCAAATGTATACGTTGTAATGAACTCCTTGGAGTCTCCGAGAAGTTCAAACCTCTCCGAGGGAACTATGAAGTGTGTGTTTCGTCTCATGGAACAGTCAGAGCAGTTACAATCCCAGGCCACAACGCTAGATGGTGCATAGACTTGCCATCTTACTCTTTTACAGTGACATCCGCCGGTATGTAGTACAAGCTCAGAATCCATTCTTCTGAATTGTCAATATCTGCACTGACTCTGCATCAGACAACATATATTAAGTCTTCATTTCTAGAAGTGAAGATTACCAGACAACATATTGCAGTTATACCAGATGGTTATCCAATAGACTTTCAAAGAAACAATTTAAGCAAATGACAAATCTAAAGATTTATCGTATAGCAGGCAATGATGAGGTGAGGATCGCCTTAGGTGTGAGCTTGGCATGTGCTGCCTCGATTAAAGCTGATTAGACTCAAGATGTTTGTACAGACATGAAATCCAAGGTACATTATTGTACAGACATACTTTTATCTCCAAATCTTATAGCAGGTTCTCTCGTCATCATGAAATCCGTAAAACTATGATGATCAGAATGAAACAACTCAAACCCTTCCCAGATCATCAACTGAAAGGTTGAATGATGTGCTCTGACAGTCAGTTCAATAGAAATGCCTGCTGAAACTACTTTCCTCTAATACGTTCCAGATAATGAGCTTGAAGATATCCAATAAAGAACTCCTGATATTTACATAAACTAAAAAAGACAAGATTTATTCACGATTTAAGAACTTCTATTGAATTATATTGCTCCTTGAAGATTTCGTGTATCCAAATTGAAGCATCTATTAGCAGTTTGGATACTAAATCCATGGCCGCATGGCGGCTAAATGCATTTCAGTGGGCTAAAGCAACCACTGACTGCGATCAACTATAGGAGTGTTAATGTCTTCCTTCTGTTTTCCCAAAAAACCATACAGAAATAACCAAAAGCATATAGGATCGACTAAACCAAGCAAAGTAAGAAGAAACAGAAGTAACAAGCCTTTGACTATGCTGCATGTCTGCAATCTGCATTATGATTTTGTTGCGAAAACATTAGGGAGCTCAGCCCTTGATCTTAGCCAATATCTAGATGCTCTGCTGTATATATGTGGAAATAATTTTCAACACAACAACATCGTACCCAGTTTAATCCCACATAGTGGGGTCTGAGGAACAGGGGAAGGTAATGTGTACGCAGACCTTACTCCTACCTTGTGGAAATAAAGATGTTGTTTCCAATAGACCCTCGGCTAAGGAGTGGAAAAATATTTCAACTAAGATCAAAATTAGAATGACTTCTGTTTCATCTCTCTCTGAGTTAGTGGTAAAAGTTTTAACTGAACTTATAATGTAAGGAGTTTAATAGTGTCAAATCCAGCTATGCAGTGGTAGAACAGATGGTAAGCGATCCGCTGAAACTGCTCAGACTATGCTCAAGTTGAGCGCGTAAAAATTCTTTACACTCTCTGTAGATACAACTTACATTCTAATCTAATCATTAACTTCAAAGGGAATAGGAAATCACCATAAAAGAATGCACTTTCACTGCTTAAAAAAATTTTCCAGCCTATTCTTATTGCAACCATCTACTGTCACACTACAACAACAACAACAACAACAACAACAAACCAGTAAAATTCCACAAATGGGGTCTGGGGATGGTAGTATGTACGCAGACCTTACCCCTACCCCGACAGACCCCCGGCTCAAGAAGACGAGTCTACTGTCACACTCTTTGTATATATTTAAGCATGATACAAAAGTTTAGCATATAATTAGTGTACATCTTCTTAGCTCAAACACGAATAAACATACAAAAACTCCAAAATTTTACAGCTCATCCTACTGGTAACTTAAACTTTTTCCTAAGACCAATTTGCTGTAAACTTGGAGCATAAGTACATCTATGAATGGGATACAAATTGCAATCACAATGATATAATCAAAACAATTTAAGCAATATGACACAAATTTTCAAATCAAAAAGAAAGAAATACTAGATAGAATCTTCAAATTAGAGATTATGAGAGCAAAACAAGAAATTACCTAGTACCAATAGAAACTTAACTACCCAACAAGTTGAGCATAGCAGGTATAAATTCATAAATAGTACACCATTTTCTTCGACACCAAAATTGAAACTCTTGTTATTTATTTTTTTGGTAAAAAATTTGGAAAAAATAAATTTCTCTTAAGGCGATCATCTGGGCCGGGCCTATATCATTGCTGATCCAGTGTAAAAGAAAGAAGGAATAGTCCACTAATTAGGTGTTTGGCCCAGTTTTGCAGATCAACAGAGTTGTGGGCCAATGGGCCTAACTCTGACATTTGTTTTGGGTGAAATTCAAAAATAGCCAGATTTATAAGTGGTAATTGAAAAATAGCTACAATTTCAAAAGTAATTGAAATTTAGTAATTTGTTATGTAAAGATAAATCTGAACGAAAACACTATTCAAAATCCGGAAAAAATTCTAGCATAATATATTGGAGTTCCAGTATAATATACTGGTCCAGTTAATATGTTTGATGTTCATATACAGGTGCTCCAATCTCCAGTATATTATGCTGGAACTTTCCGCGTGTTGGAGTTCCAGCATAATATGCTGGAAGTTCATACACAGGTGGACCAATTTCCAGTATATTATGCTGGAACTTTTCGTGTTGCAGCAAAATAGTGGCTATTATCAATGACTTTGCAAATGCTAGCTAGTTTTCAATGACCAATCAAAAAAACTGGCTAGCCCGTGTTATTTTTTTACGTTTGTTTTAGAACGAAGAAATTAAGGAAAAATGACATTGTATAGTTGCTGTAAAAATAATAACCGAAAAAATATATAAAATTTATATATTTTTTGTATATATATACATTCTTTATGTTATATACAAAAATTAAGCAAATTCTATTCACTTTTTCGGCTATTAAATGTAAATAATTTCTGGCGCGGGCGAAAATTGATAATACCCAAAGAATTAGCCCGAATAACCGCCCACCTAATTACTTAAACTAAAAATATTTGGTGAATGTATAATATACATAATATTCATGATAATATGTGTATAATTATGTATAATTTATATATACTGATTAGAAAAAGTAAATAATGAATCTGACGGGGTATTTTAAAATTTGGAGAAAGCCCATTTTGTGGTGCAATATGTTAAAGAAAAAGAGTAGTAGTCAGAAAATATAATCTCCATTTCAGCAGTAAGCTAGGAAAAAAATGTGAATTTTATTATATGTCTTATATTGTACTTGACTTTTTTTTTCCTTCCTTTTTTCGATGTGAGATTTGCCAATAATATTATATTTACCCCTTCTTCGGAAGCTCACTAGCTCAAAGTCTTCCCGATCTTTCTCCTTGAGATATGCTCATCAGCCCGTCCTTCGTCATGGCGTCACAGTAGGATATTGCCATGCCCTAGTTCTCCTTCGTTTATAGGTTCAAGTGAACACATTGCTCCCGACTCTAACTGTTTATACGTATACAAAAAAAAATGCATACTTATAATAAAGATTATATTTATTCTGAATTTACTAACATAAATCCTGGATTTGCTTCTGGCAACCAAATTCTATGTCTTATTTTGAAAAAATATCGATCAACTTCGTATTCAGTCAAATATCACATATAACACGGGGACAGAAGAAATAGCTTTCAATGACATCCTTGCATTGTCTCAATCGTAATAATTATAACTTATAAATACAATTAAATTGTTCAAACTCAGTCGAATTAATATTCAAACTTTCCTCTCATAGGTCCCTCTTTCTTTCTTTTAAAGTAAAGGATAAGCATTGGAAAATGATGCATAATTATATTTTATATGTGAATGGATTAGATAACGTGGTCCAAAACGGCATGCAAATATTAGGATAACAATATGGGCAATATGCATGTATTTAAATTGGTTTAAATATGGTCCTAAAATTCTTTAAAGGAACTGAACTGAAGATTAATTGTGAGACGTTGACTATCTCTACTCTAATGACTGATGTTGATGGAAAATACTTACATTTTGACTAGGAGTTTCATTAATAATTGGTCGTTTTGATCCTTTTAGAACAACTCGTCACTTTTACAAAAGAAAAAATCTGGAAAATAGCTATTATAGATAGAGGCAGAGTCAGGATTTCAAGTTTATGGGTTTGAAATTTTAATCGTTTTAAGTTACTGGGTTCTAAATTAATAATTTATACATATTTAACAGATTTTTAAGACAAATACAGAGTTCGAATTAAAATTAGTGAATTTGACCGAACATGCTCTCGACACTCTAGCTAGCTCCGCCCCTCGTTGCAGAATTGATGGGTCTGATATTGTTACAAGGTTCCAACCAACATGCACATTGAAAGAGATTTTATTTATGGAAAATTAATGAGTCTTCTGAATATTGTTCGTGTAGTACATTTATGAGTTTAAGTTTTCTTTTCCGATAATGCATTTATTAGTGAGTCAATTACTCAAATGGTCACTCAATTATCTTAAATTATCTTCTAAAGTCATTTTTCTTTCGTTTGTAACAACAAAGTCACAGAATTATGCCTATTGCACTCAGAAGGTCACTCAACTAGATTTTTCAAATATTCGATTACCAAATACCTATTTTACCCTCTAAATTATAAAATATCTATCTTCTTTTATTTTTTTTAAACTTTTTAATATTATGATTTCCCCTTTTTAATTTATATTACGGACTTACCTATAGAATAAATAAATATTATTTATAAATTAAAAAAATAAAAATTATTTAAGCATCTATAATGCTGGAATAACAAAATAATGAGCATAGTAAAATTTTTGTTCATTAACAAATTTTGAATTTTTGTTGTTAATACTAAATTATTCTAATTAATTTTTTTTGCTATGCTCATTATTTTGTTATTCCAGCATCATATATGCTTAAATACTTTCTATTTTTTTAATTTATAAATAATATTTATTTATTCTATAGGTAAGTCAATAATATAAATTGAAAAAGAAAAATCATAATATTAAAAAGTTTTTAAAAAATAAAAAGAAGATAAATATTTATAATTTAGAGGGTAAAATAGGTATTTGGCAATCTAAACTTTGGAAAATCTAGTTGAGTGACTTTCTGAGTGCAATAGGCATAGTTCAGTGACTTTGTTGTTACAAACGAAAGTAAAGTGACTTTAGGAGATAATTTGAGATAGTTGAGTGACCATTTGAGTAATGGACTCATTTATTAGTTAAGGGAATCATGAGTTCGAGTGTTCAAATGGAAAAATTCAAAATTCGTGTATCGGCTTTCAAAAGTCCTACAAGTTTAAGTGGTCAGGAAGCCATTACGCCTAAAGTTTTTATATCATCAGTTAAGTTAACCTACAATAACAGATAATTTTTCCTATGATAGCGATTAAAATAATTGGAAAAAAATAACAATTATTAGCTTGTTATAATCGATTTAGTTTCAATATCAAGAGTATTGCATATAAAAGTTTGAAAGGGTGCGTCCACTAATTTTTTAAAATCTCATAAGCTCTATGTCAAATACATATTCAGATAATAACATCTAAAAAAAATTCATATATATTAAGCTATATAATATTATAATTCATTCACTAAATTGATCGTAGCTAACATAATTTTTTAATAATCTAATATTAATCTGTGGCTAAGTAGGATTAGCAACAGATTCCGATATTTAGCTACGGAATTTATTTGTCCCTAATTAATTCCTGTATTTTAGTAGATAAAATGCAAAAGAATGGAGACAAACTGCCTAATGGGCGGACTATTTTTTTCCTTGTATTTATCCGGTTGGTATGCAATATAAACAAAATATTTACATATTCATATAAAAAATGAAAAATGAGAAGAATATACTAAAATCATAATCCTTGACACGAATGCTAATTTTAGTCACTAGATTAAAAAGTTGTTCCTCTAGACCTTAGCCTTAGTGCAGGTCCCTACCATCAAGAGAATAATAAAAAATCTTAACAGGAATTTATTATTTTAGTTCATTGAACGAGAATGCTCGAGTGCGTAATAATAAATTCTATTTTTCTTTTTATCATTTGTAATGTTGTGAGAATGTTAGACAACACAACAAACATTCTGCAGATTATTTTTTATTTTATTTTTATTTTAAAAAGAGAATCTTATTAGGTTACAGTTCTTAACTTCTTATATTGAAGACTGCTGTTAGCTATGGATTTCTTAAAAAAGATAACTTTATTATATCAATAGTCGTCCGGGTGCAGTATTTACTTTTTATAATCGGTATACATAAATTATACAATAATTATATATATTTTATATTTATTATACATTTGTCGACTATTTTTAATTTAAGCGGTTGATGGACAAATATTTAGATTCCAAATAAGGATAAGGTCTGCGTACACATTACCCTTTCCAGACCCCACTTGTGGGATTATATTGGGTATTTTGTTATTGTTGGACAAATATTTAGATTAACTCTTCTTAAAAGTAATAAATATAGGTTCTTTTATTTAGTAGATAACTTAATCATATGGAACTAAATAAAGGATACATCTTTTGGTGGTACAATGAATTATTTCGTAAAGAAAATAGTGACATGCAAAAATAATAATAAAATGATTTAAATTTGTCCATGTACTATTTGATATATAATTGTAATTTTTCTTTCCATTCTCGAATTCTCTTTGTCGTTATATTTTAAGTTTATTCGTACTTTTATTGTTAGCAGATTCATCATAAAATTAAATGGGTGGATTTTATTTGTCCAAATATACTTCAAGGAAAAATATCCAAATTCAACCCTTTAAATTTGACTAAAATCTAAAATTATCGTCATGTTGGAGCTTTATTAGGGGTCAAGTGTACAGTCGAATATTTATTTTAATGAAAAGAGTAAAATTAGATTATAACAGAGGAAAAAAGTTACTTAATTTTGAATAATACCAGGACAAACTCGAGCCATTTTTCCAAGAGAAAAAAAAGTTTAAAAACTAAAGACACCATTGGAATTGGAAAAAATTTGATAGGATTATTCAAATATTGTAGGATTCTAACATCATGAATTTGTATAACTAAACAAATGATATCATAAAAATTAATTATTTAAGAAATTCAATCAAGCAAGAAAACTTATTTTCCCTAATTTCAATCCAATCAGAGAAATATCCAAAATTTAACATTTGT